CCTGGGCTGCGTCCCGGCCCTCGTCTCGGGAGAAGGTGGCATCTGGCAACAAACTCGGTAGGTGGCTCACACGTGGGAACTCGGGCATAGTAGGCAAACCCTTGCAAATGTTTGTAACCCGTATCATTCGTGATACTCTACATGAAACTGTTGACAACAACAAACGCACCATTGTGTGACGGGTCTTTGCCAGGCACTTCCACACCATGTGCTTGCAATTCCCGCAAAACAAAGCGAATCCCAGCCCCAGGTTCCCGTGAGGAATTCCCGCCCCAAGAACGGCGAGTATAACGTGGTACCCTGTTTTGTCCCACGTCACGTCTGCACGATGTGGGTCGGACCCACGCATCACCGGGCCAGGGCGTTTCTCGATTTAACCGTCTGTCCCATGAAGGGCCCAGTCGAGTTTCGTGAATCTTGGAAATGAGGGGGCGGCGACGGCTGCATCTTGAGAAGGCTGATGAATTTTACGCACCGAGTCAGACAAGCTAGTCGCTGACTGGTGGTGCTCACTAGAAGCAACGTCACCCTGAGCCACCTCCCTCCCCTCGAATACGGGGACGGGTTGTGCACAGAGCGATCCTCTGTCATCGTCGTGAGCGGCGGGTCGCCCCTTTGCAGTGCCGCCCCCAGCATCGGGTTCCCCCGTCACGCCTCCTTAATACTTGCGGCATCGTGTTTCCCCAACGCGGCTTCTCCTTTTTGCCACGGAGCAAGTTACGTGAAGAGGTTGTCGTCCCTTGCCAGACGCTCACGTGTGTTGCACTCCTTCTTGCGCTAGACTCCCCTGTAGCTGATCAAACACTGGCCCGATGGGCGAACCCCCGTCTTGAAGCACATGCGTGACCAAGAAACAGGAGATGCTCGCTGGGACCCTTTCTGGCTGTTAGTCAAAATGGCGCTGTGGCTATACGCAGTGCCATCGCCCCGCGATGGCCTCTGCATAGGATGGGGTGACTGGTCCAGCGACCCCTCGACCTGGCCGACCACAAGGTACACGGATGGATTCAGATTGTGTACAGCACGGCCCGAACTCTGGAGCGGCGGCTGGACAGTTGTACAGGTTGCGGACAACGGGCTGTCTGTACAAAATGTTGACCGCGCGCAGAATGGATTGCTGCGTACCAGGCGTGCGTGCCGATCCGACACGTGAGCCTCGTCGTTGCTGACATGTCGGGCCTACGGCGCCATCTAAAACATGCTGACGGTGCAGCCTGGTATACGAATATATGGCGGGACTTGTTTAATTTGTTCAACCAGTTGCATGGGCCACTGGCACGTTGGCTGCCAATTCTGTTGCGGTGTCCAACGCCTTGCGGCCACTGCCAGGTGCAAGAACTTCTGGAACTCGATCTTTCGTTTGACCTTTACTACGGCCAATCCTGAACACACTGCTTCGCTCTGGGTGCACATACCGTGCCATAGGGCGGACCGTGGCGAACGGCTTAAACCTGCAGGTGGAAGCTCGTCGTGCTGGAGCCCAGGTCATCGCTTGGGCAGCGGCCCACGTGGCGATGCGCAGTTACGCCAGCACCAATACACAGACGACGGCCCCCAGAGGTGCAACCGAAGGTCAGCACCATGCCGCATGAGCTGATCGTGAGACCCAAACAGCATCAGCTCATGTTGTCTTGCGCAGGCGCGCAGGCCGAGTTCGCTCAATAATCTCCCATGTTGGCGCCTACTGTTGTACAGGCCCGCCAGAATGACGGAATATCTCGCTGGACCCTTGCAGTTGCAGGAAGCCCAAAGAGAGTCCACAGTGATGCAGCGCACAATGGGCAAATCAGGCTGCATACGTGGCGTTGGCACCTGACGCTTGCCGTGTGTTGCGGAGGCTCGCAAAAGCCGTGCGAAGGCATGCCTGGCACCTTCTCGAGGAGCCCTTTGACGGGGCACACGTGCGCACGACGGTAACAGGGTACACACAAGAAGTCTGCCGTGCGGCGATCATGCGTCAATGAGGCAGTTGCCAGACAAGTGCAAGCTTCGAACGCTGAGCGAAGATTCTGCTAGGATCATAGCGATCCCAAGAGCCAATCAAGGGCCTCCGACTGGGAACGAGAGGGTGGACACCCCCACGCTGGGAAATGAGCAGGGCCAACTGGACTCACATGTACCCGTGTTTCGCGTCGCCGTGCCTGGTGGCTCTGCATAAGTACTAGGGTAGTCCCATCAAGGCGGTTGGGCTCTTAGGCCTCTGATCCTCCTCCTCCTCCTCCTCCTCCTCCTCCTCCTCCTCCTCCTCCTCCTCCCCTTGCCTCTCGCTTAACCAGGGGTCGGTGTCCATTGAGGAGTCCCTCTGATAAGAGTTCGGAGGGGTGGTCCTTCAGGACGACCATTTTGTCACCCCACCTGAGATTCGATGACCCAGGGAGGGGCCAGCAACAGGGCCACCCCCCCAAACTCAAGCCGGGGGAATTTGAGCTGGCGCTATGGCTCCGGCTCTGGTCACTCAGAGATGCCCCTGGGCAACACACCCCTCTCCACCCTCCCCCTCCCCTGGGAAAACCAACAAATACCGATACCGCTACTCCCCAGACCTCTCCCAGCGTGTTCTGACCAGAATTTCAAGACGACTTCCGCACTGGCGACGATCAAGGGGCCCAAGGACACAAATAAATACACACAAATAAAAAGGTTCCCCATATTTCCCCATATTCTATTGTTTTTATCTTCCCGCCCAATTCCCATATTTTCCTATATTTTCCTGGGGATCGACGATTAATTATGTCTGTGTGTTATTTCCCCTCCTGAGACGAGGGCCTCCCAGGAGAAGCCAGGCCCATACCGAAGGCGAAAGCGGGGCGAGGGCGCGAGGGCAGAGCCGTGGGTGCCCGATCCTCCTCCGACCCCCACCCTCCCTTCCTCCCCCTCCCTCTCCTCTGAAGGGGCCCCAGGACACACAAATAAATACACACAAATAAAAAGATTCCCCATAGTTTCCCATAGTTTCTGGATTTTTGTCTTCCCCCCCACTTCCGATAGTTTCCCATATTTTGAAGGGAATCGACGATTAATTGTGTCTGTGTGTTTCTTTCCCTCCTGATCCTCTCCCTCCGCCTCTCCCCCCCCCTCGTCAGGCTCCCCGGCGGGGCGGCGGGAAAGCTGGGATGGGGGGGAGGAGGAGGAACCAGAACCGAAGCCTCCGACGTCCCGCCCCTGTACAGGCACGCGAGGGGGCCGGAAGCTCTCGGCCCCGTCTCTCGCGCAGGCGCTGCGCCGGGGGCTGCCCTCTGCGGCGCCGCGGGCCCGCGCCAGGCCCGGATCGGCCCCCGGGCGCCCCACACGCACCGGGGGAAACGGCCGTCCTGCTTTCTCGCGCCGCGGTAGTCACGGCCCAGATCCCCAGCATCGTAGCAGATGGGGCAGACGAACACACCAATCAAGCAAGCACACAAACACAGACACACGCACATCCTCTTGTTCCCAACAATCATGTAAGTTGGGCCACCGCTGTGGATCCGCAGCGCCGCGCGTCTCGTCCTTCCTTCCTTCCTTCCTCCCCCCTGCTCCTCCACACGTTTCGCGACCCCATAGGGAGCTCCACCGATGGGCCACAGTTGCAGGTTTCGCATGGTGACTCGAGACCATGTTGGAGCACCCCTCACACGTTTCGTAGCCTCACGGGGAGCTCCATCGAAGGCCCCAGTGGCCAGGTTCGCATAGTGACCCTAGTCTCTCTCGGCACACTCCTCGCACGCTTCGGGGCACCATAGGGAGCTCCACAGAAGGCCCCAACCGCAGGGTTCGCATGGTGACTCGGGTCCATTTGGCGCAGGTCTCACACGCTTCGTAACCCCATCAGGAGCTCCACCGAAGGCCACAGTGGCAGGGGTCGGGGGGGCTCTACCGAAGGCCCCAGTGAGAGGGTCCGCATGTTGACTCGGGTGCATGTTGGCACACCCCGTCACGGTTCGTAGCCCGATGGGAAGCTCCACAGAAGGCCCCAGTGGGAGGGTCCGCATAGTGACTTGAGTCAATTTGGACACACCCCTCACATGATTCGTGGCCCCATGGGTAGCTCCACCGAAGACCCCAGGGGCTGCGTCCGCATGGCATCGCCTCGCCCCTTTCGCGTCGCCCCGCTGACGCACTGCGAAGCGTTCAGGGGTGCGAATTTTCTGTGCTCTTGTGTATGCAGCGGTCCTGCTTGTCCGCCACTTGTATACAATGGGTTGGGTTCTTCGTTCTTCGCCAGGCTAATGTTTTGTTCTCGGCGGGCGCTCGTGCGCGAGGCGATGCGCCGACAAGTCGCTCCGCGCGACCGCGGCCAGAGCGGAGAGACCAGCGAGGAAGAGAGAGACAGAGAGAAGTGTCCGGCCAGGGTGCTGGGCAGTCGCCGCATCGCATCCCCTCGGGGGCGCCGTGGGGAACCCATGACGGTGCGGCTCGGCCGACAGGCTGGGAGCTGCCGCGCGATGAAGCGTTCGCCTGGGGAGGGTGCGGGGGGGGAGTAGCCGCGAGGCGACACACTAAGCAACGGCCAGCGGCCGAGTGACGTCACTGCAGCGAGAGATGAGGCGGGCCACGCTTAGCGTCGATTCCCCCTGACGCCGCAGGCGGGTGGACAAGGCAGGGCGAGTCGCGTGCAGGGAAAATGGATGGTGGCTGCGCCAGGCGAGCGCAAATGGAGAAAAACAGCTTGCACCGTAAAAGGAGAAGCCCGGCAGTCCCAAACACACACACACACAGACACACACGCACGCACGCACACGCACACGCACACACACACACACAGACGCACGCACACACAGACGCACGCACACACACACACACACAGACGCATACACACACAGAGACGCACACACACACAGGCACACACACAGGCACACGCACGCGCGGCCTTGCTCAGCTCCTGGAAGGCCTGTCGCGCCGAGCGCCGGCGCCCTGCCAGCGCGATGATGAACTCCACTCGCGCCTGCCCGTCAGGCTGTGGGGAGAAGCGTCGGGAGCTGAGTGAAAATGTCGTGGGAACGCGCAGCTGGTGTCATATGTTCGTGATCGAGGCAGGTGGTGCCATTTGCCACCTGCACCGCCGTCGCTGCAAGTGGATGCACTGGCAAACTCGACATGAAAAGGAGGCCACCATCACATGCGTCACCATCATCAGAGCGTCCTCGAGCGATAGGCTGCGAAAACCCCTGCTGGACAGCTGTCTTGCTGGTGTAGCTATCATGCCGTTCCCCTCTTAAAGTATTCTCTCTCTCTCTCTCTCTCCCCCCCTCTCTCCCTCTCTCTCTCTCTCTATATATATACACCGTGTTGCATCTATATAAATATATATATATACATATATATATGTATACATATATATATGTATGTGTATACATGTATGTATCGTTATCTCTATTGGTTGGAATGCATTGTGTATGTAAATGTACATGTGTATGTACATATACAAATGCAGCAAAATGAATACATGTGTACATGTATTCAAACTGGTGCAGATGCATGTACATGTGCGCAAAACCGCCGATCCAGCGTGTGAGTTTCTGAGAGCGTGGACTTGAGCTCGCTCAAGCTTCGCTCTGCCAGGGGGGGGGGGACGTTATTTCCGACGTCATTTCCGACGTTTTTCGGTACACGGGGATACTTCCGACATCATTTCCGACGTTTTTCGGTACCCGGGGACAGGGGGGTATCGAAAACTCCACTTCCGGAGCCCCGACCGCCCAAGACAGCCCAAGAGGAAGCCAAGAGAGGCCCCGGAAGCCCCCTAGACAATGCAAGAGGGCCCCGAATCGCCGAAACATCATCCTCATCATCCTCATCGTCCTCATCATCATCATCTCGCTCTCACCCCCCCCAGATCGGCGGCACTGACCGGAGGCCAGCCCAATACAAATACATACATGTGTAGCAATCCGCCACCGTGCCTCAGGTGGACCGAATCGAGCTGCAGGCCGTGGCCCCCGGGACCCCGCGTGTCGGAGCCGCGTGCTGGCTGGTTTTGCCACGAGTCGGTGCTTGGTGGCTCACACCTCCTCGCCCGTGGGGGTGGTGACCACGCCACGGGCCCCCGCTCGGCCGCGCACCCGAAGCTCACGGGCCTCGTTCGGGACGCGAGGCCCTGGCAGCGAGCGGCGCCCGCACGCTGCCCGCTGAAGGGTTCCGCCCCCCGGCGCCTGCTACACGAAGGGGTGGCGGGCGAGGCCCCTGAGACCGAGCATGCCGCCGAGTGGCCCGCTGCGGCGGAGAGTGGGTCTGTGCGCGGCGCAGGGCACCACTGCTCCGTGAAGGCGAGCAGAGGCACTCGGGGTCGCAGCAGGCAGCGCAGGTTCGCGCAGGGTTCCTCCGCGGCCTCGCGGGGCCGCGAGCCTCGCACGAGATCGTCGGCGGCCACTTCGGCCTGGCTGTCGCTCCGACGGGTCCTGTCCCAGCCGCTGGCCCTGGACAGTCGTAGAAATGTCAGCAGGGTAGGGCGAGAGCGCAGACGAGCGCGGCTGCTCGGGTTCCTGTCTGCCCTACCCTGAGCTCCAAGACTCTCTGGGACCCCGATGCTGAGGCCCAAGTCGTGGCTGCCATGTCGGATGCGCGCCAGGCTGGCCTCTTGGCCGATGCCCGGCAGTCTCAGGAATCGCGGGCCGACTGCTGCCAGCAAGCCACGCCCGAGGGAGGCAAGCTTGCCCGCAGATCCAGCGAGGGCCTGCCTGGGCCTGCCGCGCCAAGTCCCAGGGGACGAGGAGGGGGGCGGCCGCGCGCCTCTGGCCAGACCGCAGAGTCCTCGATCGCATCCTCGGCGAATGGCGAGGGGTCGGAAGCTCGCCCGAGGTCCCGGGGCGCGCCGGCAGACCTCCCCATCACAGCGAAGCAGGTGCGGAGCGCCTGCCAGCGTGCTCGCTGCCAGCACAGCTCCGGGGCGAAACGGCTGCCACCCTGGGCTCATGGCCCAGCTTCCCTGGAACGGGTGGGGACCCCAACCTGATGCGGACGGGCTTTGGTTGGTGCTGATCGTTCTCTTGGAGAAAGCTACGGGGGGGGGCAGGCCCATTGGCAGCGTTCCTCTCTGGGACAGTGTGTACTCCAATGTTCGGCACCTTGGATGTGGTTAGTGGGAGCGTTCTCGTCGGTGCAAGATTTTCCAGGGCCAGGGTAGCTCGTCTGCGCACGATGAGAGCGCGTGAATCTTCGCCGCGCTGAGCTCCTATGCTCAAGGGCCTCTTGGCGGCCTCCGCTTCTGGACCTTCAGGGACATTACGAAAAGATGAGGCACCATGAGGTCTGAGCGGCCTCTACGGACAGGCTACTGCAATAAGGAACCCAAAAGAAGGAACGAAACCCCTTGTTGGCGCCAGAAGAGCCTGGGTACACAAGAAGGGCTAGAGAAACAATCATCGAACGACCCAAGGAACAGCGAGCCCCTTCCGAACCCAAAGCGGTCCTTGATTCAGCGTCTTGACTGTAGGGCCTGTGAGCCCCCCCCTCCATCTTGCGCGGAGATTGCGCTGCTCGTGCAGGACGCGGCGCAGAGCTGTGTTCCAAGGCAGCGCGAACGCACCCATGTAAGCCAGTCTCAACACATTCGGGTGCTTCATAGAGATTCGGGTGCTTCATAGCGATCCTCCTCCTCCTCCTGCTCCTGCTCCTCCTCCTCATCCTCCTCCTCCTCCTCCGCTTCCTCTTTCTCTTCCTCCTCCTCCTCCTTCTCCTCTTCCTCCTCCTCCATCTCCTCCTCCTTCCTCCTCCTCCTACCAGGCGGGGTAGGGGGGGGGGGGGCGGAAGTGAGAAGAAGGAGGGGGGGAAGGGACGAGGGAAGCGGGAGGAGGTAGGATCGCGGAGGCAGGAGGAGGATGAGGAGGAGGAGGAGGAGGAGGAGGAGGAGGAGGGAGGGATGGAGCGAGCGAGGGAGGGGGGAGCAAGGGAGGAGGAGCAGGAGGAGGGAGTAGGAGGGGCAGGAACAGGAGGAGGAGGAGGAGGCGGAGGAGGAGGCAAGGGAGAGGGAAAAAGGGTTGGAGGAGGATGAGGATGAGGAGGAGGAGAGGAGGATGATGATGAGGAGGAGGAGTCCTGCTACTGCTGCTGCTGCTGCTGCTTCTCCTCTTTCTCCTCCTCCTCCTCCTCATCCTCCTGCTCTTTGCTCCTGCTCCTGCTGCGCCTCCTCCTACTCCTGCCCCCCTGCTCCTCCCCCTCCTCCTCCTCTTCCTCCTGCTCCTCCTCCCTCCTCCTCCTCGTACTCGTCCTCCTCCCTCCTCATCCTCGTATTCCTCCCGCTTCTCCTGCTCCTGATGCTGCTGCTCCTGCTCCTTCTCCTGGTCCCGATCCTGCTCCTGTTGCTGCTGCTGCTGCTGTTCGCATGCCCTGTTCACGTCTGTTGGAGGTTTCGTGTGTTGGGAGGTTTGTGGTATTGGGGAGTTGGTGCGTTGAAAACTCGTGCGTCGACCCCTCGTGCTGGGGCTTTTGCCCCTCATGCGTTGACCACTCATACTAGGACTTCGAACCATCTTACCTCATGCGTTGACCTCTCATGTCGTGCTGGGAGTTTGACCCCGCATGCGTCGACCTATCATGCTGGGGCTTTGGTGCCTCATGCGTTGACCCCTCATGCAGGGGCTCTGGCCCATCTTACCTCATGCGTTGGCCCCTCATGCTGGGGCTCGTACCCCTCATGCGTTGACCCCTCATGCTGGAGCTTTGGCCCTTCATGCGTCGACCCCTCATGCTGATGCTTCGACCCCTAGTACCCCGTGCCTTGACCCCTCGTGCTGGGGGTTATGCCCCTCATGGGTTGACCCTTCATGATGGGGCTTGTACACCTCGTGCGTCGACCCCTCATGCTGGGGCTTTGGTTCCGCTTACCTCATGGGTTGACCCCTCATGCTAGAGCTTGCACCCATCATGCGTCGACCCCTCATGCTGGGTCTTTGTCGCCTCATGACTCGACCCCTCGTGCTTGGGCTTTGGGCCCTCTTGCCTCATGCGTTGACCCCTCATGCTGGGGCTTGTACCCCGCATGCGTCGAACCCTCATGCTGGGGCTTTGGCCCCTCATGCGTTGACCCCTCATGCTGGCGCCTTTGTCCCGCTTAGCTCATGCGTTGACCCCTCATGCTGGGGCTTGTACCCCTCATGCGTCGACCCCTCATGCTGGGGCTTTTGCCCCTCATGGATTGACCCCTCATGCTGGCGCCTTGGTCCCGCTTAGCTCATGCGTCGACCCCTCATGCTGGGGCTTGTACCCCTCATGCGTTTACCCCTCATGCTGGGGCTTTGGCCCCTCACGCGTCGACCCCTCATGCTGGGGCTTTTGCCCCTCATGCGTCGACCCCTCATGCTGGCGCCTTGGTCCCGCTCAGCTCATGGGTTGACCCCTCACGCTGGGGCTTGTACCCCTCATGCGTTGACCACTCATGCTGGGACTTTGACCCCTCATGCGTCGACCCCTCATGCTGGGGCTTCGGCCCCTCTTACCTGGTGCGTTGACCCCTCTTGCTGGGGCTTGTCCCCCTCATGCGTTGACCCCTCATGCTGGGGCTTTGGCCCCTCATGCGTCGACCCCTCATGCTGGGGTTTTACCCCCCATGCGTTGATCCCTCATGCTGGAGCTTCGCCCCCTCGTCGTCGTCGTCGTCGTCGTCGTCGTCGCCGCCGTGGCACCGATCCTCCTCCTCCTCCTCCTGCTCCTGCTCCTCTTCCTCCTGCTTCTGATCCTGCCCCTTCCCTCTCCATCTCCTCCTGCTGCTGCTGCTGCTCCCCATCGCCTTTTTTCTCTTCCTCCTCCTCCTCTCCTCCTCCTCCTCCTCCTCCTCCTCCTCCTCCTCCTCCTCCTCCTCCTCCTCCTCCTCGTATTTCCCTCGGGATTTGCCGGGAAGCTCAGGGGGTGCCCGCCCCGGGATTTGCCGGGAAACCCGCGGGGGCCCGCCCCGGGATTTGCCGGGCTCAGGGGAGGCCCGCCCCGATTTGCCGGGAAGCCCAGGGGGGCCCGCCCAGGGATTTGCCGGGAAGCCCAGGGGGGCCCGCCCCAGGATTTGCCGGGAAGCCTGGGGGGGCCCGCCCCGGGA